ATACCTATTACCATCATCATTAATTCAGGTACCTACTTCATTCTTGCATTGCCATATTATTGGGTTTTTTTAAATTATCATTAACAAAATGAATAATAATTATTATCAAAATTATTATTATTAGCATCAATATTATTATTATTATTATTATTATTATTATTATTATTATTATTATTATTATTATTATTATTATTATTATTATATTACTGAAGTATCACTATTATTACCAGTAGGCGTTAATAAATTATGGTAGTTATAAATTATTTCAGGTACTTTTACGTTTGCGTAATATTTGTTAATTGATATTCTTGTGTTGTGCGTGTACAACAAACTTGACGTTGATTATCATTTCATTGCAGGCTGGACGCACACCACTACATTACTGTCTAGAGAATGAGGAGCTGACGCACGAGCAACACAAGGAAGTCGCAATTATCAATATCACCTTTGGCGCATCGGTGACAATAAAAGATAATGTAATGTACAGAAAAATGAAATGCATCAAAAGAATATTAGTCAATGACCTTAATACAACAACTGTATATGAAACTACTAGAAACATTTTTACTAATTAAAACCAACATAATAAATATAAATTCAAATAAAATTAAATCGAAAACAAAAAACCATACGAGTAATAATGTTGATTTTTTGAAAGTTTTAGAAGTATGAGTTTAATAATGTTTATTATAAATTAATTGGATGGTAATTTACAACATTATTATAATGTCGTGATGATAACATTGTCGAGTGTTCATTAGATATATTATTTTTATTATTATCTTTGAGTATTTAACTAAAATATATCACTGCTTTCTGTTTATTTGGTTTTCAATTGTCTTGCAATGGAATGAATCATCGCGTGCTCGTGTCTGTTATTGCAGTGGGGAAAGACGCCTCTTGATTTGTATGATGAAAACGAATGTAAAGGATACGAAGAAACCACGAGAAGCGAAAAGAAACAAGATTTAAAAGAATTACTTGAAAGTACGTTGATTGACATATTAAATATCTGTGGAATCAAGTCTTCAAACTCTATTTAAAACAGTACTTATCATACACCTGTATTACGTTTGACATTTATTTTTATAATTTGAAATTCTACACAATTAATGTATTATTTCCATTGTATTTTGATTATCGTAAAACGGTTTATTTCATCGTAAATAATAAAAAAATATAATTAAAAAAGAAAATATTAAATATTGTTGTTATGTTTGTACATAAATTAGAACTATCAACTCCATCAGAGATTTTAGCCAGGGGTCCCGATGCCGTCAAAGCATTCAAAGATGCACTTAAAAACGGTGAAATAACAGTTGTTAATTCAAGACTGATGTTTCTTGGTCAAGAGGGT